TGGTGCTGAGGAATCGAACCCAGGGTCTTGAGCATGCAAGGCAAGCGCTCTACCACTGAGCCACCTTCCCAGCCCCGCCAGTTCTGCTTTTTAGTTCTTTTCTTTTTGTAGTTTCTATAAATGAGGTTTGGAAGCTTACTCGCTTAAGTATGGCAAACAAGTCGGTGTTTATTGGATGATGGTGAGACATTCCTTTCCGAACTTTCTGAAATTTGCTTCTTCTAGACATCCTTGAGGAGGTGGGGAAGACAATGGGAACTCCAGAACGATCGGGGAATTAGGTAGGAACTCCAAGCAGGCAGCCTGTAGTTCTGGGTTCAGAATGTGCTTGCTTACAACAGAGTGTGGGCCTGGAATTCTAGCATTGGCCCCAGGCCCAGGATAGAATAGACTCATTCTTCTCAGGGTGTGGGGATGGGAAAGGAGCAGTCCACTCACAGTTCCGATTCATTTCCAGACTCTTCCATTATTAGAGATTTTGGGGTTGGAGTCTGTCTGTATGTGTAGGCTCTGGAGGAGAGGAAGAGGTACTTTTGGAACTCTTTGAAGGGAGGAGGCTTGTGACAACCATCCACTCTTCTAAAGAATGCAGGTCACAGGGAGTTAGTGACCAGAGCTGGCCGGTCAGAGCTATTTCGGGCATCCGAGAAGGCACTGGACTCTTGCTTTCCAGGCAGGGGGAGGGGACAAAGGTTAGGCCTGCTGTGTGCCAGGTCCTAGGACACAGTAATAGCTTCCCACCTCTCCCAGCCCCGGCCCTGGTTCCTCCAGCTGTGTCAGGGGAGGGTGAAAGGACTCCATTCTTTCCAATTTCGAGGACACTTCATTCAAGTCTTAGAATCCCTCCTGGGGTTTCGTTTTTAGAGAAATCAGGAGGGTTGAACGCAATCGACCCGTTGTGGTCAGACCGGTTCGAGGCTCTGGATCATTCCCGGTTAGTCTGGAAGGCGTAAAGGCCAGAGGTTAGTTAGGACGCCCTTCCTCCCTCCCCCCCCCAACTCCTACTGACGATGGCTCAGGGCCACCCGGACTGGTCAAGGCGTGTCCCGGGACAGACTTGGCAGGCCGCGAGGGCGGGGCTATTCACGGAGGAGGGGCGTGGTTTTCGGAGAGGGGGCGTGGTAGGCCAATCAGCGGAGAGATGCGGCCGAGGCGGAGGGCGGAGGGGGTGGAGCTTGCGCGCGGGGTGCGGCGCGCTGCGGGGCGGCCG